ATATTACGCGTGCTCTTCGGATGCAGCGCTTCTCACCGGGCTGTGCCCGACATAGATGTCACGAGAGGCCGCGATATTTAGTTCAGGGCGCACAATTTACGGTGAATCGTGGCCACGTGAGTGCAGGATCATTTCTTTGCCACAGGCCATGACCCTGGGAGCGAGAGTGTCGCTCTTTACGTCGGAGCGTTGCCTTGGGAGCACGGATCCGTTGTGTGTTGTGTGGGGTTTTGGCTTTTGGGAGCGCGGTACCATTCTGCACTTGCCAAGAAGCTCGTGGCCTTGGGAGCCCAGCCCAATTGCGTTTAGTACCATGGCCCCGCAGTCGCGGATGAAAGTGAGGGGGCGGCGGGCGATTACAAGATTACAAATGCGAAGCAGCACGCCGCAGGCGCCGGCCCTTTAGCACATTAGACAAAGAGCTTTCCGCAGGCGCCAAGGTTATTTCTCCGAGCCATGTGTCTGCATTTTATCTATCTTCAGCAGGTCGGCGGTCAAATCGCGCGGCGGGTCGCGGGTGGATGGTGGGGTGGGTTTCGGTGCAGGTCGTGGGTGGGCCACAGGTGGGCCGCAGAGCAGGTCGTGGGGTGGTCGCGGGGTGGTCGCGGGGCGGGGCCGGCAACATGCTGAACAATCAGAGCATTCATCTGCACAGTGGGAACCCCTTCAGCCACGCACCCAGGGACAATATAGGACCGCGTGGCCCCCTCATTACCATTTTGCCATGGTCGTGGTTCTGAGCGCGCGGATCCATTGCATTCTATTGAGGGTCATCTCTGCGGGAGCGCAGGTTCAAGGTTGGCTAGCGTTTTGGGAGTATCAGCCGAACGATTAGCACAGGAGTGCGGTCCAAGGTGCACGGTCGTTGTCGTGTATCGGGGGACCAGCGTATGTTTGAAATCTCCATGTCGAGCCCCGGAATTCTCCCAATTCGATTCCAGATTATGTCAAGATGCAGCCACGAGCGAGAATTAGTGTTCCGAGGGTTTCTCAGGACCGCCGAAGAAGCTTCGAATAGGTTAGAAGTTGGGCCAACATATCCACGATATACCCTAATCAAGGCATCCAAAGGCGCCAGAAAGGTCCCACACACAGCTCACATCGTTGAGACATGTGACGTTGCATGGCGTGCTTTGTTTCTAAAGTTGAAGATGGCTTCGGTAGCTCTGCTGGGGTGGCCCAACAGCCCAAGACGATCGAAGATAGCAGAGAGCCCGAATGATTTCAAGACGGGCCGAGAGGGAGCTCGGTCCAAGAGTGCAAGAGAGCTCCAAGACGGCACACGAGGGCGCCAAGAAGGCGCCAAGACGAGGGCACCGGAAGTGCCACAGGACGCTCAAGGGCAGCTAAAGGGCCTAAGATACCTTCAAGAGGCCCCACGATGGCCCAGAAGGGCCCCGAAATTGTTTCCAGGCAGCGCGAAAGTGCGCAACACCTGTTCCGAAGGTCCTCAACATTTCCCAACAGGCCTGAAGCGTGTTTTTGCGCCCATGGACGTTTGCAGCAGCGCTTCCCGTGGTGGCCAGAATCGGAGTTACCATGACCGCGGCCATTGCAGTTGGGAAGCTTTGTATCTTCACGTGCACCGTAGATGGGGGCCATAACCCGATAGACACACAGTCCATGCCAGGCATTGTTTGGGCCGTTTGGACAGACTGCACAGACGAAGTGTGAAGCTCAGTGAGCGAGGACCAATTTGGCAGTTTTTGGGTCCTTGTGCCCATGCCGGTGTTGCTAGGTTGTTCAGGCACGCAGTGTGTGGCTGAATGGGTGACTTCCAAGATACGGTGCTCAAGCCGAAGGTGCAGAGTTGCTGAACACTCCGACCGCGTAGCATTGTGGCCCCTACGAAGGGTCCTGGTGGACTTTGTATAGCTACACTGTCAGTGACGACACCATTGTGAATTCCGAGATTAGTGGTTCTTGGGCATCTGTTGTTTATGGTGGGTCGACGCCGACTGGACGATACGGTCACACGGCGGTCTTCAATCAGGCCACCTCCACCATGCTCGTCTACGGGGGTACGACGTTCTTCCTTGATCTCCAGAATGACCTGTGGAGCTACAGTGCCAGTTCGCAGACGTGGGCACAGCTGGCACCAGGCGGATCTGCGCCTGCAGGGCGCTACTACCATGCCGCAGCGTGGGCAGAGGCTCAGCAGAAGATGTACATCAGTGGCGGGACGACTATGGATTCCTCCTATCAGTCCAGCATGTTGAGCGACCTCTTCTGCTATGATGCATCTGCTAATATTTGGACTGAGCTTACCACGCTGTCAGCCCCATCGCTGGACCCCCCTGGACGCTGGGGCCACTCAATGGTCTGGCTTCCCCAGGCCGAGCGTCTCATCGTCTTTGGCGGAACCACTGGCATGAACTCTGCCGACGGGCCATCGGACACCGTGTTCGGCTTTACTGCCGCGACCCATGTGTGGGAAGAGATTTCGTACACAGGCACGATCGCTGCGCGTGACGACCATGCCGCTGTGTGGTATGATGGCGCGTACCAGACCACAGGCGACTCGGACTGGCACGGCCATGAAGCCATGCTTGTGTTCGGCGGTGTCGGCACATCGTCGAATCTTCTCGGCGATCTAGCGCACATGTGGTTCAGACCAGCCACAACAACGAGCGCTACATCTACAACCGCAACGTTCACCTCAACGACGCAGTCCATGACAAGAACGAGCGCAACGCAGCCCCGGTGCTTCAACGGGCCCAACTGCTACGACCCCCACTTCGAGGCGGTGGAGGACGTCGCGCCGCCTGGAGCGCGCTACGAGCCGCGGGCGGCGGTCCACCAGTCCCTGGTAGCCTGGTTTATCTTCGGGGGCAGCAGCGCCGCGGGCTACCTCAACGACATGTACGTCTACAAGGTGCTGGAGGGCGCATGGGCGCTCTGCCCTCCGCACGGGGCGCAGCCGGCGGGCCTGTACCAGACCAGCCTGGCCCTCTGGGAGGCAGAGTACACGCTCTTTGTGTTTGGTGGCATGGACGCCGACTCCGTGGTGACCAACAGCATTTGGAGCTACACCGTCTCCAACGACACCATCAGCTCCGACCAGGAAATCGATGGCTCGTGGGCCTTGCTTTCACCCAGCGGGTCTTTGCCGATTGCCAGGTATGGTCATACGGCAGTCGTTAATGAGGCGACGGCTAGCATGTTGCTTTTCGGGGGCGTAACTGGAACGTTCACCAGCCTGAACGACTTGTGGAGCTACAGTTGCAATGAGAAGTCTTGGATGCGGTTGTCTCCAAGCGGTACTGCCCCGCCAGAGCGGTACTACCACTCGACAGCATGGTGGCCCGACCAGCAAAAGATGTTCGTCTCTGGCGGCCTCGGACTGGACTCGAGCACATTCGTCTTCTCACAGCTCGCAGACATGTACATGTATGACGCAGTCGCAAATGCCTGGTCAGAGTTAACGCCCAGCGGACTCGGAATCGGAGCCCCCGGGCTCTACGGTCACTCGATGGTCTTCATGACGGACGCAGAGCAGTTGCTCGTCCTGGGTGGGTATCAGTATCAGGGCGTGTCGGCCACAACGAAGGACACCCTTTACGGCTACGATGTAGCGAGCAGAACTTGGTCGGAGCTGGCCAAGACGGGTGAGACCGAGGAGCGTGTAGATCACGTTGCCATGTGGTACCAGGGCGGCTACAATGTAGACGGGCACACCGAGTATGACAATTTCGAGTCGATGCTTGTGTTTGGTGGGCTGGAAACTTCTGCGAGCACGCTTACCGGTAGGCTGACCCGGATGTGGTGGAAGCCTGCCACGACGACGACAATGACGTCTACTGCCACCGAATCAACCACGTCGTTGACGACAACTGTCTCCACCACGAGTGTAACGGCGTATGGGTGTTTCCACACACCGGACTGTTTTGACCCTCACTTCGAGGCAGTGCAGTCGACTGGAATCTCACCCGGGTGGCTCGAAGGCGCGAACTCCGCCGTGCACAACGCCTCAGCCGCGCTTTTCATATCCATTTGTCTTCGGCACACCCCGCCACGACAGCGCAACAGCAACAACGGAGGTTGATGCAAGGAACGTTCCACTTCAGCGCCCTGTCTTCTTTGGCTTGCGTTTGATAAGATCATCATTGTCCGCAGGGGTCTTCTCAGAGGCCCGTGAGGGGCCCGTCGGGAGTTTCGAAGCCGATTCGGGCATGCTTTGTTGATCGAGCTCTCCCGAAGAGCTTCGGCTAATCCATCCCATGTAGGGACGTCTGGGCGAGTATCGGTGCCGTCTTGGAGCCCTTTGGCGGGCGCATTTGAAGAGGTTCTAGAGCCGTCTCTGGACCGTCTTGAGGTCCTCTAGGGGTCACTTTGAGAGATTCTCGGGGCTTAATGAAGCGTTCCTGTACCGACTTGAGACTTGAGGACCATTGAAACAACAAAGCATCAAGTTCCCTGGGTTGTTCATTTCTCTTCTGGTTTCTCATGGCATCGCAGGCGGCCTCCTTGGGCGCCTCTTTGGGGATTGTTTGGGCCTCTTGGGTTCTCTTTCAGCGGGCGCCGAGCAGTACAGGCACCACGCAGGCGGTGTGCGCCGTCTTTGGCCGACTTGGCGCCGTCTGCAGGCTGAAGAGGGACTCCAGAAATCAAAACTAGAGGGTGGTTTTGTAGGAGGACGCGCGTTGATAAGGGGCGGCTGCGGCCTTTGAAAAACCATAGAGACGTCATTTGACAACCAACCAGCATTCTACCACTATGCTATCGCGCGGGCGCGCTTGCGGATATGGTGGTCACAGGTATGACCAATTGCTCACTAACGACCTCTACGTCTACAAGATCTTGGAGAGCCAGTGGGCAAGATGCCCACAGCAAGGAGCGAACATTCCCGCCGAGGCAATGTACACCACCATGGTTTTGTGGGAAGCTGAGTACAAGCTGCTCGTGTATGGCGGACTGACTCAAAGCTTTGCGTGGTCAAGAGATGTGTTCATTTACACTGTCAACAGCGACACCATCACGAATGGTGAAATTGATGGCGAATGGTCAGTAGTTCCAGCCGGAAGCACAAATCCAGGCGGGCGAATGGGGCACGTCGCCGTCTTCAACGAGGCCACCTCCACCATGTTTGTCTTCGGAGGACAGGGCTCCGACTTCCTGTTCAGGAACGACTTGTGGAGCTACGACGCCGTGTCCCAGACCTGGACGCGAAGATCTCCGGGCGGTACCATCCCAGGGGCGCGTGGCTTCCATGCGGCCGCCTGGGACGCGCTGGCGGAGAGGATGTTCGTGCATGGAGGTCAGTGGTTCGATGCGGACATGACTTTTTCGACGCGTGGCGACCTGTTCGTGTACGACACCAGGGCCGATTACTGGTGGCAGGTCTCCGCCAACGTCAACGGGATCGCAACCCCTTCGCTGTGGCAGCACGCCATGGTCTTCCTTCCCAGAACGGAGATCGGGGGCAGCCCGAGGGGAGGACGGGCTCAGGAGGGGACGCGTCGACCCCCAGTCGCCCATGCATTGCCGACACAAGACCTGACAGCCCACCCCGCCCGTGCACGTGCGAATCTGCTGTCAGGGGCCGATCCCCGATCCACCGACGATGCATCGCCGATTCCAGCTCGATGATCGTCCCCCCCCCCGCCCTGGGCAGTTCCCCCCGAACGTTGCCCCTCAGGAGAGCCTGCTGCTGTTCGGCGGGACGGAAGGCGCTGACAGCACCGTCGCGGTGAACAGCCTGTATGGCTTCAGGACCAGGGGCTCCCTGTGGGAGAACCTCTCTTGGACTGGTTCTGCGCCGCCAGGCAAGTCTCCCGTCGCGGCATGGTACGACGGTTCTACCAACACTTCAGGAGCGATGGAGTGGGACCGCCACGAGGCCCTGATGCTCTTCGTAAACGATGAGCACCTGCAGATGTGGTTCAAGCCGCCGACGACGACATCCAGTGCCACATCGTCCAGCACTACGATGACCAGCACCACTACCATGTCAATGGCCACTGGGACCACCTCATTTGCGACCAGCACAGCGACCAGAGTAAGCACCTCCCAGACCAGCACAATTTCTGAAATCGTTATTGAAACTGATAGCAGCAGCGCATCCTCTTGGACCAACACTAAGACTGGAACCACTACGTCCAGTACCAGAACGTCCAGCACAACGGTGACTGGCACCGCGACCATGTCCACTTCCAAAAGCACAAGCGCGACACAGACCGTCACCAAGATCAGTACCACGACAGGGACCAGCACAACCGTTAGCTCCAGCGATGCCACTGGGACCAGCACAGAGAGTGTAACCACTGCGTCAAGCACCAGAACACCCAGCACAACGGTGACTGGCACCGCGACCGTGTCCACCTCCAAAAGCACAAGTGCGACAAAGACCGTTACTAAGACCAGCACCAGCACTGGGACCAGCATCACGACTAGCTCCATCGCCTCTTCTGGGACCAACGCTGAGACTGGAACCACTCCGTCGAGTATCGGAACGTCCAGCTCCGCGGTGGCAAGCACCGCTACCATGTCTACCGCTATCAAGATCAGCTACAGTGCAACCGGCACTAGTGCTTCTGCCACTAGTTCGACCAGTTTTGGTGTGACCAGCGCAAGTACCACCCAGACGAGCACCACTGGCGTCACGATGACCAACACGCAGGCGAGCAGCAGCACTCGCAGCAGCACGGGCGAGACCATCAACAGCGCCACTGTTACCAGCACCGTGTGGAGCAGCACAAGTGCCATCAGTACAACCAGCCGCTCGAGCGCTACAGACACAAGCAGGACCAGTAGCTTCGCTCTCAGCAGTGCCAGCGGCTCGAGCAGCACAACTGGCAGTAGCTCCAGTGGAACCAGCACGTCTCAAGTTGGCGCCGCAGCGTCCGATACGAGCAGCATCCAGAGCAGCACTCCGAGCCTTGAGGCTGCACAGGTGAGCGGGTCAATCGAGTTTTGGTTCTCTGACCCAGACGCCGTTCGGAGCGGGGCGGAGGCGGAGAAGTTGCTGGTCTCGGTCGGCGTCACGATCTCCCAGGTCGTGGGCATGCCAGCGAGCTATGTCTCCGTCTGGTTCGCGGAGGGATCGCGGAGGCTCGGGGCCGCCACCCGTCGGCTCGCCGGGGGCATCCTCGAGGTGAGGTACAGCATATACGTGCCCTCGGATATCGATGCTGAGTCTCTCGGTATTGACGACGCGGAGGCGTCCTTGAATAGCGTGAGCGTCAGTTCTTTCACGTCCTTGCTGCAGAAGAACATCGACTCGAACTTTGGGGAGGCCGTGTACTCGGTTTCCGTGCTGGCACTCGACGCGGTTGTGGTTGACGACGTTCATACCGTCCCGGCAGAGCCAGACGAACGTCAGGGTTCTGCCTCGAGCGTGCTCATCATCATCGTCATTGGAGTAGGGTGTTGTCTCGGGAGCGTGTTCATCAGCGTTATGCTGTTTTCGCGCAGGCGTCGGCGTTGGGCGCTTCGTCTGGAACGCGATCGGGCTCAGAGGCAGTGCCACCCGTCCACAGGCGCGACAAGCGGCGAGCAGGGCCCACGGGAAGACGGCGATAAGTTCGAGTTCTTCTTTGACATGGACAACGCGGACGAGCACGTTGCCGAATATGAGACTCGTCAGGAGCTCACTTCGAGCCCGTCTGCAGGCGCTGGCCAGGCCCCGGGAGAGCTCATCTTCGACATGGACAGTCCGGACGTGTACCTCGGCGAGCATGAGGAGGACCTGGCTCCAAGCTTGAGGATGCATGTCCCAAGGCTGCATGGCGCAGCTGGCGGCGCCGATCAGCCAGCGCCAGAAGGAGGCGACAGGTTAGAGTCCATTTTCGACGTGAACGACACGGACGTACCCCTTCCCGAGCATCGCCAGGATTCAAGAGGTCCGCCTGGAGATGGTGACCGGCCACCCCCAGCAGAAGGCTGTATATCAGACTTCGTTTTTGATATGGACGACCTGGAGGAGAAACCCCTTGCGTATCACCAGGGAACTGATTTCGCGTCCGAGCATATCTAGCTTGAGAATGCCTAGCTACCCAGCTCGCGCGGAGGCAGCCACCATACTCCAGGAACGCTGGGCTTACACATGGATGGCGGTGTCAGCCAGTGAGACCCTGCGATTCTAGAGATCGCTGACATGTTTATGACGAGTCCTTAGACAAGAACTGACTTTAGGCTTAAGCTTCGTCCAAAGCGCCGGAGTGAACTGCGCACTTGAATTGCCATCGTCCTCCCTCCCTTTTCCCTCTGCATCCTCTTCCACTGGCCGAGTGGCCAGCGATGTAATCGTTGTGTGAGCTTCACATGTGCTGCACATGTTCCGAAAGGAGAAGCCCTTTTCGAGATATACAGCTGCCTGCGGCAAGCCTTCGCAACCGAACAGCAACCAGCAGCGCAGTAGGAATGCATTTGAGGTTGAATTCCCGCAGACGGCTGCAAATGATGCACAGGCGGCTCTGCAGAGCCGTACTGCGACAACCCCCACTTCGCTAGGCACGGAAAGGCCGCGCACGCGTGCACCTTGACCTTCTTGGGGCAGGTTTCGCCGCTACGCGGCCCAGAATATTCGCGACCCCTGCGGTGCCGTACTTCGTTTTCCTGGGTGGAGCGCCGTTGTCGTAAGGGAGCCACTCCACCTCGAAATGCATTCTGTTCGCCTCGCCATACCATGGCCCCCCACGGGGACATCCATGGGCGCCCGCGAGGCGAAGGGTTCGGGCCAGAAACGCAGCTGCGAGCTACAGAAATAGGAACAGGGAGGGGGGGAGGGAGGAGCAGTTGCAGACGCGGATCAACGAATGCATCGACAAATATTTGTTTTTTTGGAGACACCCGGCGGAAGCCCCAATCATCGCGCGGAAGCTGACACTAAAGCACGCGGCGACGCTTCCCTCCGCCTGCCTCCACACACCGCCTCGCTCTCCGCGCTTACACGCGCCCCCAGCAACCCCGCAACTGCGGACGCTCGTAAATGAATTAGCCTCGCCGCCACTGCGGCCCCCGCGGCTCGGGGCCTCCGTCGAACAGATCGGGGGCTCGGAGCTCGAGGGAGTCCGGAGCCGCCTGCCTCCGCTGCCGCGGCGCGACGGCCTCCCTCTTGTAGCCGTAGCCCTTCTGCACCCGCGCCGACTGCCACCTCTTCTTCGTAAGTTTCTTTACCTCCATCTCGATCTTCTTGCCCTTGTCGGAACACTCTCGCGCGATGGTCGCGAGCCAAGCGCCCTTGAGGTCCCAGACGACGGCGGAGCCATTCCCGCCTCCCCGCGCCTGCGCCACGGGGGAGCCGAAGGGCCCCCCGCTGCGCGCCTGCGGGGTTGCAGGGCCAACCGCCGTTTCCCGGCCCCTGTCCGCGACTGCGGCCTCGTCTCTGTCACCGTCGTCGATGTCGGGGACACCGCCGAGGCTCAGGTCGTCCTTGATCACGTCGATCAGCCACCAAGGTCTGCAGCGTCCAGTCCAGCCGCAGCGCCAGCCGCGTGAGGCTGGCAATCCGCACGTGTCGGGCTTCCGTGTCGCGTGGGAACTTCAGGCGGCGCTTGGCGGGCATCGGCACGGTGTGCACAGGGGGCACCGCCCTCTCTCGGGTCCCCCTGGGGCAGGCCACTCGTCGACTTGCGCACTCCCGTCTTCTGCTTCTTGGCGTCGGGCGGAGTCGCGCCCTACGGCGGCGGCATTGGATAAGGAACGTCTTCCTGGGGCCCAGGCCCTGGCGCATTCCTTGTTGTTTCAAGGCGAGGTGGGTGGCCCACGTTTACGTTTGGCCGCCCATCGGTCGCGAGACCCTGGGTTCCTTATCGAAGGCATCCTTATCTAAAACGTCCACCGTACCTTGACATCCTTGTCGGGGACGGGGGCGGTCTGCGCAAGCCAACCTCCACTGATGCACAACACCCTGTCCACATGCACAGGGCTCCAACCATCGGAAGTCGGCATGTGCGCTACTGCGGCCTACTCGGCCGCATCGGCGGGCAAGCAGGGGGCGCGAGCAGCGGAGTCGCGCGCGGTGGAGGAGCTCTTGGGCCAGACGGCGTCAGGAGTGAATCCCTCGGAAAGCATCTTGCTTCATCATCGTTCCCCTGGCGCGCATACGCCGAGCGTGCGGGGTGTCGTTCAAAGCGGTGTGCGTTCAAAGCGGTGCCAGGGCACTGCTTTGAACGTCTGGGGGAGGAGGAGGAGGAGGAGGAGGGAAATGTCGAAGGAGGAGGAGGAGGACATGAGGCCAGCCGGCAGCCTTGGGGTCGGACGAGCTGCTGGGGGGGCACCGCGCACGCGGGGCGGGAATCGGCAAGGGGTGAGGAAGCTCGCAGGATGGCAGCAGCAGGACGCGGAGGGAGGGAGCAGTTCCGCCATTGAACCGTTAGTCTCCTGCACGGGGTGTCTAGAGCTCCGACCACTTTATTTCGGCACGGCACCCCCTCCATCACCCAACGCTTCCACCAGCCAGCGCGACCCTGGCGCGCCCCCATCCCCCCGCCCACCAGCCAGCGTGCCCCCTCCGCCCCGACCCTTTCATTTCGGCACGGCCCCCCCCCATCCCACGCGCCCCTTCCGCACCCCCCCCACCCACCAGCCAGCGCGCCTCCTCCGCCCCGACCCTTTTATTTCAGCGCGCCCCCCCCCTCGCCCATCAGGACCACCGCCCTCCACCCGCCAGCCAACGCGCCCCCTCCGCCCCGACCCTTTCATTTCGGCACGGCCCCCCTCTTCCCCGCCCACCCAGACCACCATCCCCCCACCCACCAGCCAGCGCGCCCCCTCCGCCCCGACTCATTTATTTCGGAAAGCCCCCCCCCCAATCCCGCGCGCGCCCCCCCACATCCCCCCCGCCCACGAGCCAGTGCGGCCCTTCGCCCCGACCCATTTATTTCGGCACGGCGCACCCCTCCGCCCCGACCCCTTTATTTCGGCACCGCACACGCCCTCCGCATCCCCCCCCACCCAGCAGCCAGCGCGCCCCTTCCGCCCCGACCCCTTTCATTTCGGCACGGCACCCCCCCATCCCGCGCGCGCCCCCCCCCCGCGTCCTCCCACTCGCCAGCCAGCGTGCCCCTCCGCCCCGATCCTTTCATTTCGGCACGGCACTCCCACCCCTCTCCCCGCACCCACACCACCATCCCCCTTCCCGCCAGCCAGCGCTCCCCCTCCGCCCCGACCCTTTTATTTCGCCACGCCCCTCCCCCCCCACCGTCTCACGCGCACCCTCCGCATCCCCCCCGCCAGCCAGCGCGCCTCCTCCGCCCCAGCCCGTTCATTTCGGCACGGCACCCTCCTCCCCCATCCCGCGCGCCCCCTCCACATCCCCCCCAAACAGCACCCAGCGCGCTCCCTCCGCCCCGACTCTTTCATTCTCTTGCACAGGGTGTCTAAGAGCTCCGACGACTTTATTTCGGCACGGCACCGGTCGATGCAGCCCCTCGGCCCGCGCCTCACAGCGCGCCCCCTCCGCATCCACTTTCTAAAACAGCCATGCCGAAGCAGCCCCTCGGCCCTTTGCATCCTTCCCCCGCCAGCCAGCGCAGCCAGCCCGCCAGCCAGAGCGCCCGCTCGGCGCTGGCCCGACCAGCCAGCGCACCCCCTCCGCCCCGACAGCTTGGTTTTGGCACGGCGCCGGCCCCACCAGCCAACGCGTCCCCTCCGCCCCGACCGCTTTATTTCGGCACGGCACCTGGCCCCAGACCTAGCCTCCTCACTTGGCCCTGGCCCCAGCCCCCCTCGCCCCGAACCCTTTATTTTCGTTTGTCGTCGTCCCCCTGGTCCTGGCCTTCGACCCAGCCTTCACCCTGGTCCTCGACCCAGACCCCCTCGTCGTCGCCACCCTGGTCTTGTCCTTGGACCCGGCGTCCTCCCCTGGCCCTGGCCCCAGCCTCCCTCTCCCTGGACCCTTCATTTTCGCTCGTCGTCGTGCCCCTGGCCTTGGCCCTGGACCCAGCTCCCCTCGCGCCGGACCCTTTATTCTCGTTCGTCGTCGTCCCCCTGGTCCCTGTCCTGGCCCTGGAGCCAGCCTCCCTCCCTGACCTGGCCCAAGCCGCCCTCGCCCCCCTGGTCCTGGCACTGGACCCAGCCTGCCCCCCTGGTCGTTGCCCTAGCCCCCCTCGCCCCGCTGGCCCTGTCCCTGGACCCAGCCTCCCCACTTGGCCCAGCCTCGCAAATCTATCGCGCCTCAGCTACCATCAAAAACTTTTTCGAGCAGGTTCCAATCGACAGCCGCTGATTCAGCACTGGGGCGCCCTGGCCCCACCTGCCCCTCCTCCTCCTCCTCCTCCTTCTCCTCCTCCTTGTTCCCTCGATCCCCCCCTCTGCGTGTCCTCCTCCTTCTCTCCTCATGGGTGCAAGAGCCAGAGCACGCGTGCCACTTGTTTTTTTTTTCAGCCCCAGCGCGCGATAGTCAGCAAACCGTATCCGCGGCGACGCCCAATGACGGGCAGAGCCATTGCGGTGGCTGCGAGCGTCTCTCTCACACACACCTGTCAGGAGGGAAAGAAGCACACAGACACAATTAATCGGCCACTCCCAGGAAAATATGGGAAAATATAGGAAGTGGGGGGGAAGACGAAAACCCAGAAAATATGAGAAAATATGGGGAATCTTTTTATTTGTGTGTATTTATTTGTGTGTCCTGGGGCCCCTTTAACCTGCACAGGCACTCCCTCGGGGTGCGCGCCGGCGGACCGCACCCTGGATGCTTCTGGGGCGCGCGGCCACTCAGTCGACGCCCTGTTCGTCGTGTGCGGCGGCTGACTTGACGGTCCGCTTGCTCCAAATCTCATAACAGTGGGGGGCGGGTCAAACAAGTGTTTGACGGCCGCTCTGGGAGCCTCCCCCCAAGACAGGCAACACAAGGTCCAGAATCGAGACCCCCCCACAAATGTGTTTGACGAAGCCCGTGAGACCACCCCCCCCAGAAGCAGACCCCCCCCCATTGTTATGAGATCCGGAGTAGCTGTGGCAACATTTTGCAGCGCCTGTACTTCCGCTTCCGCAGCTGCGGACACGTGGCGCGCCCAAAGGCACAGCTAC